ATTGAAGCTCACCGCTACGGCATAGAGACCAGTTTTAGCCACTATGGAATAGCGACCAGCATGGTCCACAACTCATGCAGCTCCCGACTTCGGCCCTACGGCCTACGGACAACATCACAGCTCATCAATATAGCCTATGTGACTAATTATGATCCGTGTGGCTCACAAATTCTACAGCTTCGTAATGCAGCCTATGTGGCCAACCGACACTCCTAAAACAACCATCTGTAACACATCTAAGTCGGCACTACAACCGTCTTCCACAACATTCACAGCAAACTACTGTCTTTGAAGCAATCGACACCTTGTTATCACCGAGAATGACATTCCTAATAGCCATAGACTACGGGTATTATCAATGAATTAATGTTGTGCATTTACAATGATCAACTTTGTCACTACATCTTCCATAAGTCATAAAAAGAGTAAACATGGGTACTCATCATTCATAGTGGATTCTTTCAACTAGGCTAAGTCCAATGGTTTTTTCCCATTTTCAATATTTTCCACATAAAAATTAATGTGTCCCATACTTGCTTCTCTTTAATTATCAGAGGGTGTTGGGTTTTCGTGCAACGCTAAGACGTTAATTCATTACTCTACCGCCACAAACCTTCCAGCACGCGTCAGTTTGGTGTCGTATGTGAGAAACAAAGTATCGTTCAACACTATCTTCAAGTCTGAGACGTCTAGTCTCTACTTTGTTTCCCCATAATATGCATCATCCAACTGGCTAAGGAATCTCCTTTGCACCTCTTGAAGATCATTTCTGAAGCATCCTTCGATGTAGGGGCAATCTTCACAACAGCCTTAAAGGTCATTCATGTCAACACTCCGGGCATGATTGCAGCGAGATAGTCTTCCCGAAACCTAATGAGACACACTCGATGAAAACTTCCATGATGGGGGCAACCATCACTACATTCTTGAAAGGTCATGCATGTTAAAGTTACAGCACGACTGTGCTGGGGTAGGCAACCCATGTTTCATTTTGACATCAAGTTTTCAAGAACTTCTTCTAGACTGAGTGCAACTTCACAAATAACACTTCTTCAACACTCCCCAATTATATTAGAGTTCTTCCTCAATTGGATCGAGAAGCAAACCTCTCCAAGGTTCAATACATATAATGTTTTATAAGCTCGTAACCGCACAAAAGTTAGGTAACATCTTGTAACTTCCCATGAGATGGGGCATCCACAGCTCAGAAGTAAGGCAAAAGCAACCTCAAACAACATAAAAAATTTACTACATCAAGAAAAAGAAAAACGTACACACAAACACACTATCAATCAACAACCAGGTCGATTTGACTCGTATAACAGAGCATCAATAAAAAATGCAAGAAAAAAACATTAATAAATATCTCAATCCACTTCAACATTCTCTTCATCATCAAAAGTACGCTCTTAAGAGCCGCTTTCAATTTCTTTGCATTTGGGTTGGAGGTGATCATTTGGCTCATGGATAAAATATATGTCCTTAGGATCGCAGCTTTCTATTCTCCTTTTTAAAGGTCAACATCCTCACTTGAAAAACATGCAATGTCAGCTTGTGTTTTCTTCAATTCTTCTCGAGCAACAATCAATGCATGGTTTTGTTGTGAGAGAAAAATTGCCATGAAAAATAAGGCATCATGACACTTTGCTACCTGGTATCCCAACAACAATGTTTATTACAAAAGAGCAATTCACTTTTTTGTGCTCACCAAAGATATGGTTGATCTCCACAAGCTTGGTCTTCCATGCCCTCAAAGAAAGGGTCGGCTAATCTTCAAAAGGTGTCGACTTTGCACTCTCAAATATCTGAATCTTCCTCTCTCTATCAGGGAGCGGGGTTCACTAGACGCCAACACCTCGTGATGCAGAAAATCACCCCATAAAGCGCAACAACAACACAAAAATCTTTTCTGAAATGCAAGACAAAAAAACTCCAACTTTCCTTCGTCTCCCTCTAGAATGCGCAGTGAGAAAAACTCCAACTCTTCTTCTTCACTTTCTTGAGAAGATCTCCCTCATGCTCCTCCTTGGGCTTGTGTTGGGTAAATTTTCTTCTTCTTCGCCCTCCTTGGGCTTGGCCTTGGGCTTCGTGGATCTCCTTGGGCTTGGGAATGGGCTCCCCTTTTCTAACTTCCATCTCCCTCCATCTCCCTCCATCTCCCTCTTGCTCCCTTTGGGCCTTTTTCTTGTTTTTCTCCACCCTCTTGCTCCCTTGGGTCTCCCTCTTCACCTAGCAGAAATCCTACTCCCATTGGGCCTTTTTTTATACACCATAAGAGTCTAGGTTCAAAATATTGTAGGCTCAAATCTTGCCTAGTTTCAGACCTAAATTTACCTTATTTTTTTAGGTTGATCTGGACCCTGGATCACACGCCTAATATAAACCCTTGGATCCAACGTTTCCTCCAAATTGCCTGATTTGGGCCCTAGATCCCATTGTCGAACCCAACTGATGGATCAACCGCCTGAACCACATCACTTAATCCTAGGCGTTCAATCTGAGCCCCTCGGATTATTTATCTGGCAAACTGCGGAACCACTCCGTTGGGCCAGCACGCAGACGCTCCAACCCGTCCTCCGATCCGACCAGCTCATGTCCAATTACCTGAATTAAGCAAGCAAGTCAGATAGATGACTTTGCTCGCCAACACATTGGCCTGATCCCGTAACTAGTTCAGGCTTGAATGACCCACCAGACCGGCCAGCTGTTCAAGCCCACCAGCCCGATCAGAAATGAAAATAATTGGTACAAGCATGTTTCAAACCTGTGACCAAGGGAAGGAAGCGGCTCCAAATTGTTGGTCGAGCTACCATATTCACATAAATTTTATTCTTATATAAATACACACACACACAGATATATATATAAAATAAAATGTTTTAGATATTGATATTTTTGGACGATAAAATTAGTCTTACCTATAAATAGAGAAGCAACTAATACACCATCAACGATCATCAAGCACAACTCTCGAGACATGACACGAATTTTAAAGTTACTTGTTGAGCATAAAATGTTCAACCTTCGATTAAAAATCATCCAAAGTTGCGATATCAACAGAATTACAGTCAAACTAACATGATGGACACCCAAGGATACTAAAATTGCTCCAATCTGAGTCAAAACAAGCACGAATCAAGTTGTTAAACCACTTTAAAAGATTTCAGTGCATAACTGTAAAGTCAAATGAACTCTAAATCTTACAAAGCTTATAGTCAAATTGAGTGTTTGGACAAGAAAAATCCAACGGACCCAAGATTGTTTAATTATAACATCATTAAGACACAAATGTCCACAAAACACTGTCAAATCGACGGAACCTCCCTAAGTCGTCTGATCATAGTAGTCTGGATTCCTTCCTTACAACATAGACTTTCTAAACAGGATTCGACCCCACCTTGAGACAGGACCTAAGACCTGAAGCCAGCAGAAAACTGAAGCTCAGAGACTTGAGCTCAAGCTTAGCATTGTTTCTATAATGAAGATCAGGTAATACCATCTCGATCCTGCGGTCGCCGTCCATCATCGGCCAATGTTAGTCGCCCCCTACCGTTGACCATCATCAGACACCACTTGCTTCTTTCAATAAAGTCCCTTAAGTCATAACTTGCATCGTGGTAAACTAACGTACATTGCGGAATAATGAAGCACCCAGCGAACATAAACGTCTTTTGGTACACTGTGCAAGGACACACCCTAATGACGGTGTAACAATGCATCCCACATATAATACAACGATGTCTCCCAAAAGCGGTGTAACAATGCACTCTAAAGCGGTGACTCTTTCAAGACTCATAAAGCTCTCTCATTACAGCTCACTATTATAGCATACGTGACCAACTACGACCTACGTGACTTACAACTTGTGTAATTCTCAACTCTGGTCTCTGCGGCATATAGAAATCATCACAGCTAATCATTACGGTTTGAATGACCAACTACTGTTTGAGCGGCCTATAACGCATATAATCTCAACTCTAGCAAATATAATCCCAACTCCAACATATATAGTCTATTGATGTTATCATCGCTAGTGTAGCTCCCAACTCCGGTCTCTACAGCCTACGAACGTTATCAGAGCTTTTGTAGCTCCAAAACCTCTGCAGTCAATGGACATTATCAAAGCTCACAATTACGGCATGCATGACTAACTATGTTCTACATGGCTCAGAGCTCTCGACTCTGACCTTTGTGGCCTACAGACCTCATCACAACTCACCACTATGGTATATGTGACCAACAACGCTCCTTTTTTTCATAGCTCGTGCAGCTCCCGACTTCGGCCCCTAAGGCCTACAAATGTCATTGCAGCTCATCATTATGGTTTATGCAACCAACTAGTGTCTATGTGGTTCATATCTCTTGCAATTCTGAACTCTGGTCTTTGTGGCCTACATATGTCATCACAGCTCACCTCTACAACCTATGTGACCAACAGCCTATGTGACTCACAGTTTCGACATCTTCCTACTACAACATCTTTGGTCAACAAATGCTCCTGAAGCAACCATCTGCGACCCATTCAACAAACTACTATCATGACTTTCAATAACAGTTTATACGACAAGCTGACACTACAACTACCGTTTATAACATTCATGGTGGACTACTGCCTCTATAGCAAACAACTATGGCCCTTACAGTCCGCTATCACTAAGAATTACATTCATTATAGTCAAACTATGACTATTATCAATGAACTATTGTTTTATATTTATAATGATTAGCTTTGTATTATATCTTCCCTAAATCAGGAGAAAAGTGGACATGTCTACTCATCATTCATAGAAGATTATGTCAACTGGCTAAGTTCTATGATTTTCTTCCCTTTCAAAGGTTTTCAATATAAAAATTGATGTCTCCTCCATCTTTTTAATTATCTGTGTGTTACACTTTCGTGCAACACTAAGGTAATAATTCATTAATCTACCGCCGCGGACCTTCTAGCATGCATTAATTATAATAACATACATAAATAAGAATTAATTAGTCACAACAAATAATGCAAGTTCCAGAAGTAAAACGCATTTCATGTGAAACAAGGTAGAAGGCAACAACTCAAAAGTTCTCAAATGCGGGAAATTAACTGTTTGAGTACCGTATAAGCATTTATTATCGGACCATCAGCCATAGGTGCCGTATGAGCATTTATTACCGCACCATCAGCCATAGCAGCGGATGGGATCAGTACAACCTTTTGAAGCAGATTGTTTGGAGCCAGAGCGGCCTCCTTTCTCAAGGTACTGCTGATGGTATTCCTCAGCTTTATAGAATTTCTTTGCTGGAAGGATCTCTGTGACAACTTTCCTGCCCAAGCTAATCTGGTGCCTCTCTAAAGTCTCTCTTGCAGCTTTCTCCTGCTCTGGTGAGTAGTAATATATCCCTGAACGATACTGAGTTCCCACATCATTACCCTGCATGGTTGAGCTGATGAAAATCATCACCATGTGACGAACAATTTCCGATGAAAATAAAAATGACCGCAAACAAGCCTAAACAATAAGAAAATCTGATGCTTTTTTCTTTAGCATAATAATGATACTTCAAATTGAACTTCTCTAACAAAGTAGTTTATAGTAAAAAGAAGTAGAAAAATCAGGAAGCTTGTGACGGCCAAATTCCTCGGCATAATTTTGACCGTCCACCTATCATGGATGTCCTTCCATCGAGTTTGACGAGCATTTAAAACCGACTAGGCCCAGCCATGCATCAACTTGCAACACGGGGAACTCAATTGGGCCTCTCCATGGCCCTTAACCCCATAATCATTGTCTCATTTTGGTGGTTCTAACCGGGTAGCCCGGATTGGTGGCTTTCATAACAGCCACCATAGATTACCCAATCGTCCTTCTAGTTTCCACTCTTCCTAAGATCGAAGACAACTAGCAGAACATCAACCCTGTAGTAGAACAGTGGGGGTCTAGCAAGAGCTTGTCCAAGGAGAGGGAAGAGATTATAAAAAAGGGAACTTTTTATTCTTTATAAAAGGTATATTGAATCCTGCATAGTTAGCACAGACAAAAAGCGCTAAACCGCTTATAATTAAGCACAACAATATTGCCTAAAAATTCATTTTAATATATATCCCTTCTCACCTGCAAAGGGAAGGACCAAGCTTGTGTTATAGTTTTGTTATTATGCGGAGTCTGATTATGTCGATCAATTATCAATTTAGTGTCCTCAACTTCGCCAATCAAGCTCGGCGTATCCCTTCTCACCTGCAAAGGGAAGGACCAAGCTTGTGTTATAGTTTTGTTATTATGCGGAGTCTGATTATGTCGATCAATTATCAATTTAGTGTCCTCAACTTCGCCAATCAAGCTCGGCGAGGGAAGGACCAAGCTTGTGTTATAGTTTTGTTATTATGTGGAGTCTGATTATGTCGATCAATTATCAATTTAGTGTCCTCAACTTCGCCAATCAAGCTCGGCAATGAGTTTCTCAAGCAGGTAAACCCCCTCCCCCCTCCCCCTTCCCCCCTCTTCTGATGGGTTTGGGGCAAAAAAAATTTTCTATACATAACGCCCCGTTGCTATACCCTCGGAAGGCCTCAGTACTGTAACTGCGACGCTAAGAAAAAGGGAGTTCATTTTAAGCAATTTTGTCTGCTCTTTTTCAAGTTGGATTTTCTCATTCTCTTGTGCACAGAGAGAAATGCAAGAGGTGTGTCCAAGGTGTGAAGAAAGTTAAGTGGGGTTTAACTTGTGCTATTCTCCTCATTTTTGCTTTATGGTGAATTTCCTGATGTGATGTGGCTCTGTAGTGTTTCACGTTGTCAGATTTTTCGACATTAAATTTGATATTTTCTGTATTTTTTTTTTACACTTCTAATAGAAATTTTGATTTAAATCACTTGAATAGATTTCCACAATTTACATCTCCCAATAAGTTGACTAATAAAAAAAATAGAACTAATTCTCTAAAGAACTGCAATAAATGGATTTCTCAGCACCTTGTTAGCTCAAAATAACGAGGGTGGCAAACAAAATGTTCTACAAAATGTTCTACATATTATCTCAAGCTCGTGAGGTTATTAACCATCGAGTTGGAGTTGGCTCGCAAGCCAACTCAACTCATGTACACCGCTAACTGCAGGAGTTTCAAAAAGCAACTATGAAACTACTAGAAGGAGAAGTTGTTGCCACAATGTTGATGTCGGTGAAAAAGTATATTTGGATAGTTTAGTTGTGAGTTTGTTGTGTTGTAGCTACGGCTGTAAACATGTCAAGCACGAGTGGGCTTAGGCTTGGCTCGTGTTGAGCTCATTCGAAATTAATTTTGTTCAAAATTAATTTTGGAAATTGTTCATAAATACTGTTCGTGTACGGCTCATGTTTGTCTCAAAATTGGCCCGCTTAAATTAATTAAAAAAAAATTTAGGGTGTTGGATTCAAACCTACACCATTCTTATGCAATAGAAGTGCATAATCACAAGACTAAATGAGTTTAAGTGATTTAAACTCAAATAAAAACATATATAATATATTATAATACAAATATTATACAGAATTTTCTTATTTCGAGCAAAAAATAGCGAACATAATCGAACAAAGGATTTTTCGTGTTTGACTCGTTCATAATACAAGCTTAAAAAAATTATTTGTGTTTAACTCACTTAACAAATGATTCGAACATGAACTACTTAAGGAGTCAAACATGAGCTCTTTACGAATGAGCTTTTCGGCAGCCATACTTACAATTGTTTCTGAAATGAAGGTTGTAAGGCCCTAATGTACATTTGTTAGTTTTACGTTCACCAATTTAGAAAGAATTCAAACAGAACACCAAAAATAAATTTCAAAATAATACAGAAAGTTAGAAGTTTAATATATTACATTAAAATTTATACATCACTTAATACTAAATAACATAAATTTAAATAATAATAAGTAATGTTATTATGATATTACTCATAATGTCCAAACGATCAAGAATTTTGGAGAATTTTCTTTCCAAAGCTATTCTCTACACATGATCGCTATCTAAAGTGGAGTCCTCACAATCGTCATTTTATCTAAAAAAAATTGCAATCATCAAATGATATATTTCTGGGACACCTATAAAGTTTTATTTCCTAGCTAGTTTCTCGTTATGATTTAAATATGCAATATTGCATGCCACAGTTGTTGCTTACAATTCTAAAACTTTTAGAAGCCATTCAACTCATATTTCCTGTGAATGCAGAGTTTATTACAGCAGTAAGAAGTACAATAGTATATTGACATATTGGCATATTGGCATATTGCAAATCTATAATCTCAATTTTAATCATAAAATGAGCTTATATTGATGTTACAATGAGAAAGTTAAAAAAAATCGAAAAATTATCACATTTGTGAATTAGTCACACGCTATTAAGTTGAAACACATTGACCAATGTTTAATAGCACAAGCATTAGCATTTGTTCCATTAATACCTCCAATACAGTTCTGCATAAAGTATGAGATCTTTATTATTGAATTATTTTTTTGACCAAAAGTGAAAAAAAAATAAATATAAAAAGACACTTTAAAAAATTGCATTTATAGAGGGTCATTTGAAATCTCTGGTAGAATTATATAAAATGTTGAATCTATAGGCTTTATCACCTAAGTTGATAAGCTAACCAGTGCGTTTAAGCCTACAAAAAAGTACCAAGTAAGTGTTTCATATCAATCTTGGAACCGCTCGCATATTGCCCTTATGAAATCATTATGAGATAATATATATGAAGTTAGGCCTCAAACATCTCTGCTCGTTGTCCTAGAAGAAACATGAAGATCATAGAATGTTTCCAACACATATAAAAGGTCAACAGATATTTCTTACGAAATGTGCAACATCTTGTGAAATCTCCTTAAATGCCCTGCTAATAGGTCTCTTATCCATTTGTCACTAATATATGACAGAAGTCATGTATAAGAATTTACATAAAAGTTATGTTATATTCATTCAATAAACATGCTATGGAAATAACAATATTACGCATTGTTCTTCATCGTTAACATCCGTATATGTAACCATTTACAGAACACGACTTAAGCCAACCGCCCATCCAAACACTACTTTAAAAACTCTACTTTAGTTGGTCAAAGGTTGGCTTTGGTTAAAACAACCTACAAACCATCTTAAATTAATCCCTTCATTAAGGTGGAATGTTGTAAAAGGCGAAGGAGAATGTTTGAGTCTGGTTTGAAATATTTTAAAATATTAATTTTAATTTAGATTTTATTGGATTTAAATTATTTTAAAATTGTATCCATTTATTTTTCTTTGTGATTTCAAAGTTCGATTGATAAATTAATTAGTTTAAAACTGTGTCATGTCAACTGCCACGTCGACAGGTGACACAACAGTGCTTTACGTGTGATGTCACGTGATTGGCTGCCACGATTTAGTGTAGAGCGCATGGAGACAAGTATTGAAACAATGTAGTGATTGAAATATATGCAAAATAATGAACCCACAGATGATGTAATCATGTGTGAAAATCAAAGTTATGGTTAACACATGCATAGCTTTGAGATTCTTATAATTAGTTAGTATTTAAAGTTCCTTTCATTTATTATATTAGGAACCGAGATGATTTATGAATTAGAAAGTCTTTTTATCCCACCTGATACACAAATTCAAGACATGTAAAGATATATGTAACAGTATATGAATAAACTTGGCATTCAATGCAATATGCAACATGCATATCATGATCATTATATAAAATGGTGCCTGAAAATCACACAAATTTTTAGTTAGAGCTAGAAAATGTGGATCAATGCAACAAGTGTCATGGAATATGATTTACCCAAACGAATAAAGTTGAAAATTACGTTTGAAATTCATATGTAATAAGTCCAATGTTAGGTACATACAAATTGTTTCTTCGTTAAATCAAGCAGATAATGAAGTATACAAAGATGCACGAGAATTTAACTTGAACAAAAAATAGACTTGATGAACTCTTGAGCATATCAGAACCCAAGATAAGTAATAAGAAACGATGCACACAGACAATACAAGACTCCACCAAGATCATTTGGCATATAAATCAAGATGACAAGATCCACACTATCTTTATGCATGCTGAAAACTTTGAAATGACTTTATAGTGACTTGATTTCTCATAATCATAAAATACTTATATTTGCAATCAATCATGGAAATGCATACTCGTGATGATTAACCTTCAACATTAATATCAAATTTCTATGCAAACCAATCACAAATTAAATCAAACTCTTCCAAGTCAACAAGGAATATATAAACTTAGGATTATAACAACGCGCATAAACAATTACTATTATGGTCAAAATGCAACATATATATATATATATATATATATATATATATATGTTGCATTTTGACCATAATAGTAAAAAGAATATATATATATTCATTTTTATTCCTATAAGATATTATCAAATTACAATCCCGTGTCAATGTCCATAAGAGAATGCTCTAATCTAAAAAGAATCTACAATATGCAATCTTTTTTCTTTTTCTTTTTTTTTTCCTTCATGACTTGGACTTCAACATAGAGATTTAAGGCACATTAGTCCCAACATCAAGATTTAAAACTTACAGATAGAATCAAACATATATTTCATAAAGAATGACATTTTACGAAGATAGATCTTAATTATAAATGAATCCACAATAAAGATTTTACCAAAACATGAAACTTATAAAACATAAAAATCAACCAATTAACCAAATCCAACAAGTGAGGGATTATACCTAGCGAGGGGGGGTGTTCGAAGGGTGTAAATGTCAGATCGATTTAGCCTCTCTCATACGAATTGGCAAAGGGGAGAGAGAAAAAAATAACTTTGGTTGTGTTTCCTCTCGTGCAAACTCAAGGAGGAAAGGAGAGCCTCTTTCAGCCTAAGTTGGGGCTACAACCATGCTATTTTGTGTTGAAATCGAGAGAAAGAGGATGAATGGGAAGACATTTCAGCACCTTGGATTTAGGGTGGCTAGGGCAAGCCAAGAAATAGCTTGTAGACCTTTTACCGTTGTGCGGAAAAGGAAAGAATGAGAGGATGGTTGCTTGCTCGGTTTTGGTTAGGGATGCAAACCAAACAAATGAGAGTCTACTCCTTGGGAGCCTTGTATCTTACAAACCTAAGGAACAAAAGGTAAGAATGCTCCAGCAAACCGCAAAAGTAAGAAGAGGTAAACCCTATTTCAACAATATAGGAGAAGCCCTCGCGAACATGAAGAGAGAAGAAACTTGTGTTTGGAGTCGTTCAACCCTAAGGGATTGCGGCTTTTGTTGTGCTCCTCTCGACCAAATGCTTGAGGCAAAAGAAGCAGGGACGAAGGTGATGCTTCGCGAACAAAAGGGGTAGCAAGGACTTTTTGTGAAAACAGAAGGAGTTACGATTCTTTTTGGCTGGAATGCGAGTGGTATGGCCGGAAAAACCTTTAAGGCACAATGAGGATAACAACAAAATTAAAAGGCTAAGAGTACAACAACAACAACAACAACGATAACAAGTTTTTATCCTACTTAGTGGTTCAGCTACATGAATTCTTTTCTCCATCATGTCCTATTGAGTGTCATATTTTCATTTAATTCTAACAGATTAAGATCATTTTTTATGCAACATGCCTAATTTTTTTTAGGTCTACCCTAGCTTTCTTAACATAAGTTAAATCTAAAACATCTACTCTCCTAATCGGATCATCAGATGGTCAACATTTAACGTGACCAAACCATCTTAAACGACTCTCTAATCTTTTCTGCAACTGGAGCTACACCAACACTTTCACGGATATATTTATTATATATTTATTTCGCATATTTCGCATTGTCTCTAAGTGTCAAGCTACTCATCCACCTAAGCATTCTCATCTCAGCAACACTTGACTTTGTTTTATGCTTCTCTCAACATTTTGAGGCATAAAGCATTGCAGGTTTCACCACCAGCTTACAAAATTTTCCTTCAAGTCTAAATAGTACTTTTCTATCACACAATACGCCCGATGCATTCCTACACTTCAACAACCAATCTGAATTCTACTAATAACATCCCCATCTACATCACCATCACTATGAACAATAGGCCATAGATAACTAAAATGTTCACACCTTTAATGATTTGATCACCCACAGTTACAAGTCTGTCACTAGAGCTACGACTATTAAAATTACATTTCATACATTTAATTTTAGATCTACTCAAACGGAAGCCTTTAGACTCCAATGTAGACCTTCATAATTCAAGTTTTTCCTTAACTCCTCTTGTCTTATCCACAAGAAAGATATCATTAGTGAAAATTATACACCAAGGAACATCCTCCTGTATATGTCCAATAAGAGCATCCATAACTAAAGCAAAAATATATGGGCTTAAAGCCAGTCCCTGATATAATCCAACAGAAATAGCAAAATACTCGGCCAATCCTCTTTTTATTCGAACACAAATAACAGCTCTAGTTTACATATATTTAATGACTTGAATATAAGTCGTATAAGCACTTTTAGGGTTTATTTGAGGGAGCTGCAGCTTATTAAATAATTTGCTGATAAGCTGATTAAAAATAATCTGCTGATAAACTAAGTGCTGTGGCTATTAAAAATTTTTATTTTCTTGGAAAAGTCAAACCGCTGTTAGAGATAGGTGCGGTGTGAAAACGCTACTTTCAGCATTTTCAAAACGCATAAGCTGTCAAAACACAGTTTACCCAAACAGTCCAGGTGCGTTTTCAAAACGCCACCGCACCAAATAAGCTACCCCCAAACGGACCCTTATTTTCTAGAACTCTCCAAAGAACTTTTCTTGGAACTTTATTGTAAGCTTTTTCTAAATCAATAAAAATCATATATAGATCGTCCTTACTCTCTATGTACTTTTCAATAAAATTTCTCAATAAATGCATAGCTTTCAAAGTAGACTTGCCCGACATAAATCCAAAACTGCTAATGAGAAATCCTTGTATCACAATTTAACCTATGTTCGATTACCCTCTCCCATATTTTAAAGTATGACACAATTATTATCTTATGGGTCCGTTTGGGGCAGCTTGTGCGTTTCAGGATAAGCAGGCGGTCCGCGGGCCGGCCGCAGGGGTCGGCCCGCGGCCTGCGTTTAGTGTAAAAACCCAAACGCAGTTTCTGATAAGCTGGCGAAAAGCGCGAACCAAACGGTATGGCGGCGTTTTGAAAACGTCGCCCGCACTTATAAGCTGCCCCAAACGGAGCCTTAGTTCCTCTATAACTTGCTCGCTCTTGTGCATCCCCTTTATTCTTAAAAATGGGAACCAAAATACTCTTCCTCCACTCCTCGAGCATCTTTTTAGTTTTTAAGAGTCAAAAAAGAAAATGGATTGGGAATGACTTAAGCTGACTTGGATTTCCTTAAATTTAATTTAGCTTTTATTTATTTTAAATTAAATTTAAGATTATACTTTAGTAAGATTTAATTTTAGATGCATTTACATACATGCCACCCAATTCATATGTACTTAAATATTTATGGATAAGAAAAATTGCATGTATGTAAATCTTTTTAAATTTCATATTTTGTTTAATTTGATTTTAATTAATAATTTGGTTTCAAATTTATTATAGTTTAAGTTTAATTTTTATTTTAATGTTTTTATTAAGCTTGGAGCTTAATTCAAACTTCAATTTAAATTTATTTTAATTTAAATCATATTTGATTTGTAATTTATTTTAGTTCAGATTTATGATCACTTTAAGTTTTCAATGATTTAAATTTACTTTAATTTTATGTTTCATTTAAATTATGATTTAATCTTATTCGAGTTGAGTTTAAATTAGTTTTAAATAAGTTTATTTGAAATTTGAATGTATTTTTGGATTAAATTTAGATTATTAACTTAGCCTTGGGTTTTAAATTATGTTGGTTTGGCTTTATGTTCAAATTTATACTTTTAGGTTAATTAGTTTTAGTTTTAGATTCTATGTTTAAAACTTGATTCTAAGTTTGATTAAATTTTAGTTTGGTTCAATTTATTTTAAGTTTAAACTTAAATTATAATTTAAATTTTGTTAATTTTAACTATTAAATTGGGATTTAAATTTAAGCTTACATTTGAGTTAGCTTAGGTTTATGTTGTAATTGTAAGTTAATTTACAGGTTGACCTAAAGTTAATTTAAAATTTTATATTCAAGTTTGTTTTGATATTAATTTAGGTTTATTTTATGTTAAGTAACACTTTATCCATATTTAAGTTTGAATTTGAGTTTGAGTTGATTTTAATTTTAATTTTGATTTAAACCAAAGCCAAGCTAATTTAAGCCAACCAAAGCACACCCAAGCCAACCCAGGGTCAATCCAATCAGACCTAACCCAAGTTAACTTTACACAGTTGGGACCAACCTAGCCGCTTAGGGGTACTAGGAAGGGAACCTAGGCCTAGATAGAATTGGTTAAGGGCCAAGGGAAAATGTGCTGACCAAAAAATGAGGTCAGAAATTGACCCTCAATATGTGCGATGGACAGGACATTATACAACATGCGTATTCGTGGTTGACCGAAGGAGACAACAAAGCCCATAACAACCATCACTACTCGAAGTTTTCCACTTTAACTGGTTTTGAACTTGAATTCATAGATTACAAATTTTAGTTTAAATTTTGATTAGAATTGAATTGAAGATTAGAAATTGACAAGAAAATCAATTATTCGGCGGCAGCTAATAGCACCAAACCGTAAAACCCCAATCAAAAATCAGATAGTCAAAGAATGAATTACACGTGAACAAGAAACCAGAACCCAAAATAAAAAAATTACCTGGCGATTGAGCGCAGTAGGGTCATGGCGAGCCCAGAAGAGGTCTAGCAGATCCTCATAGCTGCACTGGTTGGGATCGTACTGCACGCGAACGATCTCCGCATGGCCGGTCTTCCCCGTGCAAACGTCCCCGTAAGTCGGATTATGAAACTTTCCCTGGCTGTATCCGACCTCTGTCTTCGTTACGCCAGGAACCCTCTGGAAAGCCAGCTCGACGCCCCAGAAGCACCCCGCGCCGAATTGAGCCCACTGCTGCCCCGCATCCGGCACGTCGTTGTCAGGCCCGTAAGCGATCTCCGTCGACAAAGCGTCCATTGATGAGACCCCCGCCCCGCTGCCGAACCCTAAACCTAGTTTTTCCAACCAGCTCATGAACGAGCAGACATTTTTGAAGAGCTCGGTGGGGGGGGGGGAGGATATATATTTATATAAACATATAATATCCAAAATTTGATATTTATATTTATAATATCTTAATGGTATAAACCTACAAATAAAATTATATTTTTTATTTTTAAAAAGATGAGAATGATATCAATTTTTATATGATGTTAAAAATTCAGATGATATTTATGTACATATGAATATTTAAATGTTAGATATGCAAATACATAATAATTATATTATGATATGTATGTAAACTACTTTTATTTACAAATAACTTTTGGATGATAAATCTTTGAACTTGGCTTTCTTAAAGTTTTTTTTTTCTTATTATATTTACTTATTTTATGTTATTTCTTTTTAGATTTACTTAATTTTGTTATATAATAAAATTTTCATTCTTATAAAAACAAGTATGATATATGTATGTATATAGTTATTTATTTATGTATGTGTTTGTGTGTGTGTATAATATATTTACAGTTTTGTTGCTGTCACTTTCCTAATATTTTATGTCACACATGTAGTAAGAATCTAGTCAATAACCCTCACTCTTGTAATATTATTTTTTGTTCTTCAAGGGAAAATAAAGTCTTATAACATATATCCACATGGTAAATTATTTCAAATGAGTTGGCCCTGTGATTTTCCCCCCCTTTCAAATTTTTCATATAAAAATTATTTGATATCCACTTTGTTAGTTCTTTATTGTTTTTGTAAAAGCTGAATTTTTATATAATGCTAAGATAATAATGTATTTCACCACATATTTTTTTCGCACGCATAATGTATAACTTCTTTGGGTCTAGTACAAAATAATTTAGTTTGACAAAAGAAAATTTCTTTTACGAAGAAAATTCAATTTTTATTTCCACCACCTGTCGAAACACTTTAAAGCATGGACTTGTAATTTTATACAGATGACCAATTATAAGTAATTTAAACATTTTTTTTTTATTTGAGTTAGATTACCAATTATTTCGTGCAAATTCTTTCTCTTACGTTTGGTTTTGTTGAACCCTCTCCAGTTGTAACTCGCTGTTGTCCAATTTTGTTCAATATATATATTTGAGCCTGAGCTTCCCAGTTCTCACCCAGCATCAAATAAGAAAATTAATTATAAAATTAAATAAATATAATTTTATGTCTGTTTAAATGGTTGAGCGAAGATCTCGAACGTGAAAGAAAATAATTATAATGATAAATTAGGATCCAAAAATTATTTAGAAAACGCTAAGTTTGACAGAGAAATTTGACTTTATATTACTTATAATGCGCATAGTTATAGAAACTATCCTCAGTATTTATTTTTATGGACAAATAGTCTTAAAATCCATTTCGAATGAATTCTATAGTATTCACAAGTTGTATGTTGAAGTTGAAGCAAATGAACTTAATTCGAACATGTTCAAATCTGAGTCTATGTCAATAGTTTGTTGGGGGATGAATTCAATGTGATTGGTGACCTATGAAGGAGAACAAGGGGTTCTCGATGAACGAACACCAATGAAGTCATCAACGAGAGGATCCTGGCTGAAGGGGTTGACGAGAGTTGGCGTTGTTGAGAGTTTGATGAGGATACACAACATTTGAGTATTTTGGTTCAATTCAGTTTAAAATACTAATTCAAAAATGGTTCAAATTTGATGCAAACAAAGTTTGGATTTTGGTTTAAATAAGATTCAAATCATTTAACTGTAATTTTAAATCATATCATATTCAATGACGGGGCTTCCGCGCTTAATGGAAAGAGGCGGCTATGTCTTATTCTCATGCTTAGCATGCTATGAGTTGGCAGAAAAAACAAAAGCCCCTTGAGTTTTCAATTTAATTTAATGCCCTTTAAGTTTTTAATTTCATTTAATAAGACTCAATTATTATATATTTTTTATAATAAAAAAATCAATTTATATGTGGCCAAAATAATAAAATTAATTTGGGCGCTAAATCTTGCCAAGATGAATCAGATACTTGCACGTGTGAGGCTTTTAGTTACACGCGGCTGAAGATAATACTTGCAAGCAAAAAACTAATGTTTTTTACGTCAGCCCACGTGCCAAGCCTTTTTGGGCTAAGAAACGGGAAATTTACATACCTACCCAGTGATCTTATGTATTTACACATCTAGCATCTAAATTTTTAATTTATATTTATAAGACTAGATTCATAAATCTATGCATGAATAGGGGCACTAGTTTGAAAAACTTAGGCCCTGTTTGGCACAGCTTTTTCAGAACGGTGGCGTTTTCAGAACGCCGCCAACGCGTTTGTTTCGCGCGTTCGTTCGGCGGCGTTCTGAACGCAGCGTCCCGCGGTTCCGTTTTTCTTCATTAGCCGGATCGCGGGGCCTCGGCTGCGTTCGGCGTTGGCTGTTGGCGTTAGGGCTCGAATTCCTTCTTTTGCCCTATCTTTATTACATGCTACAATTCGGCCATTCTTTTCTTCATCTCTACCCGATTTCTGTTGGTTCAAATCAGATTATGCATATGACCTTGACATTATGGATTATGCATATCACATTGCAAGCATGGCATATGGTAACATCAAATTATTGCTTAGTAGTCTATACATATGATTAGTCAAAAAACTATTGCTTCTGAAATATGAAAATATGTCATCGCACTGCTCCTCATGCCATATGTTTGGGCATAAATTCACAAAAGCTAAAATGGTCACCTCATTTTGATTGCCCTATAAAAACATATGTTGCTCCTGCATAGATCTCAATTTCAAGACTTTATATGCAGCACTTCAACCAATCAACCTTATTCTTTTATTTTATAATTATTTTGTGGAATGATGCTATGAAAATAATCTTTCTAGGCGTATTGTGGCCAGATTATCGGTGGAATTCCCCATTTTGATAAAGATTTGGATTGGGTCCCCATCGATTGGGTACTGACTGAAGAAAGAAAAGGAAAATATCCAATCAAACTGCTGCTCCTGCTACATGTTTGAACATAAATTCTCAAACTGTTGGGCTCATTTTGATCTGAGAAATTCTACAACAGGTGCATCACCTTCCATTTGAAACTGCTAATCAATCTCTTAGCCACTTGGCGAATGATCTTCCCTCATCATTCAGATCAATTCTCAAAACTTATAGCCAAATTCAGACTCTGTTATAGGGATCCTACTTGCCTCTTAGTGCTAGCCACTTCATTATTAATTGACACCATCACTATAGCAGTTTTCATGTTCATGGAACACCTCATTTCCATCCTACACAATGAAAGTAATATATCCTAAAAGTTATTTAATTTAGATTGGAGCATTCAGAGCCCCGATTCTATGGTAGATAATAGAATTCATATTGAAAGAAAAGTTAGATTCAAATTCAAATTTACCTCTTGTCATCTTGTATTCTTCTCTCAACTATTGCTTCTCTTTTTTTCCCCAAGTAGTTAAAAAGTGCTAATTTGAAAGAAAAGTTAGATTCAAATTCAAATTTACCTCTTGTCATCTTGTATTCTTCTCTCAACTATTGCTTCTCTTTTTTTTCCCCAAGTAGTTAAAAAGTGCTAATTTGAAAGAAAAGTTAGATTCAAATTTTTATTTGAATCAAATCCGTAATAACAATGTTAGTAACGAAATTCTGAACTTCAAGGTTTGTCATTGCCGGGTGTATAAAATGATGCATTGTTCTTGTGGAGGTTTTGGGGATTATGTTTCTGTTGGTTCAAAAATGCCATGTTTTCATTTTATTTTGAAGTTTGCTGGCTTTCCTTAAAATTTCTTTCAAATAGATACAATATGGAATTATCTGCCTAGAATGCCTCATTGAGGAGGAATAAACATTTCTGTCACTGTGTTTTTCAAATGGATGCAATACGTTACAATATAGTATTTCTTTCAAACAGATAGTATTTGCTGGCTTTCCTTCAATGCGGTAAATATTGCATGTTCTAGGGAGCTATGTTTGATCACATGTTTTTATGGTGCCAATTGGCTGTTCTTTCACGTAAAAGCGTTGGCTGATGGTGGTAAAGATTTTTCTTGCCAATTGTGTTGTAATTTGCCTTAAGATTATGCATGACAATAGAGTTGAGTCTGCTAAAAGTCTTCTCAAGATTTTTCTTGCTTGAATCAATAACCAAATAAGGCATTGTTGATTGAGACTTGTCTTGCATCAACTATCAGATGATTTATAACAACATATAGTGTGGCATGTGTAGATTATACGCATGATGATGATTGATATGTTGGGTGTGAGCAGGTTTTGTAAATTAAAAATGGGCCCAAAAGGTCTTGTAAATTGGTCCAGTTTAGCTCCTTGCAACTCGGTTTGACTCCTACTGGCTTAAAAATTTGTTTTTTCTTGGCTGAAATAGTTGAATTGTGCTGCATCTCTTATGGTTGAGAAATGGTAATACAGAAGGCTTACTTCATTTTGAAGTTCTACTGCTCATGCATAATCTTAAGGATTACATTAGATGTGGGAATCTTTTTAATGCTATTATTTTAGATATTTTCGGCTGTATTTGCGGCCTTCTCATGTTACAATTTGTAGGATTTTGGCTTCTAGCCGCCGATGTGATGCAATTAACACATGGGTTTTGGTGTTGAGCCAAAGAAATGAAAATTGTGTTGTAATTTGCCTGCGGTGTAATTTGAGACAGGCCAGCTCATTGACAATTTTTTTTGGGATTGTGAATTATCCTAGCTTTCTTGGAATTTAAATTGAGGTACATGGATTAGAATTTTCATATTACACATGTACTTAATATTTGTAGTCCTCTCCAGTGAGAAATACAGCTTTGTACGATTAAAAATTTGATAATAAATCATATTCGATGTCTTACTGTGGATGTAGGTCTTAGACCAAACCACATAAAAACATGTGTGCTTTTTTTATTCTT